TCTCAGGTTAACTTGTTGAAAACAGGGCAGGATTGTTCGGAAGCCGGTTAACGCTAACCAAGGATTAAAAGTTAACCGAATTATAACTTTTTTTCTATAAAAATGTTTTTTGGCTGCTTTGGTTTGTGTATATAGTGATTATTAAAACTCAAAACAGAAGGCCAAACAATATACAGAAAACCGCGCCGCAAACCTACAAAACTGAAATCAAAATTCTATCTTCTCCTGGGTTATTTGGCTCTGAACAACGCGGCCCAGGAGCTACGCTTTTAGGCTGGCCTAAATCTATATATTATGTTTATAAAAGGAATAGACCAAAGACCTTGCAATTCCTTTCTTTAATGGGTAAACGTATAAATTGGTCTTTTCTATCCAGATACATGTATCTCCCTCATAACACTGTGCACTGCTGTTTTCAGTTTTGATTTTTGCATAATCTAAAACCAAAACTTACCGATAAATGACCGATATAGATAATCAGAAAGACATGTTTGTAATTTTGAAATCAACTTCGCCATGTTTGTTCTCAAATGTGTGTTTCTCTTTGCTCTACAACTAAAGAGCTGGAGTTGACAGGGTCAGTGTCATAGTTCGAACAAATACTTAAGTATCACTAATAATTACGGTCATATGAATTAAAGAAAAAAGAACTGCAAACAAGCTTACAAGGATAAAAGCATTGATAGATTGGAAAATAATCCAAAAAATTTGACTTAAGTTGTGTAACTCTTGCTGTGACGTTTTCTGTATATCGTTTTACCTTCTGTTTTGAATTTGAATAATCTCAACATANATTTTACTGTAGTGAATAAGGTCGCATTTTTATCTCGCCAATAAGTGGAAAGCAATGATCTTGATATAATATGTTTATAAAAGGAATAGATCAAAGTCCTTGAAATTCTTTTCTTTAATGGATAAACATATATTGGTCTCATCTATCCAGATACATGAATCTCCCTCATAACACTGTGCACTGCTGTTTTCAGTCTTGATCTCTACATAATGTAAAAACAAAACTTACCGATAAACGACCGATAACGATAATTAAAAAGCAATATTTGTAATGTTGAAATCAATTTCGCTATCTTTTTCTCAAATGTGTGTTTGTTTGTTTTTTTTTGCTCGACAACCGGAGAGTTGGAGTTGAGAGGGTCATTGTCATAGTTCGGACAAATACTTAATTATTACTAATAACTTCGTTCATATAAATTAAAGAAAAAAGAACTGTTAACAAGCTTACAAGGACAAAAGCATTGATAGATTGGAAAATAATCCAAAAAATTTGACTTAAGTTGTGTAACTCTTGCTGTGACGTTTTCTGTATATCGTTTTACCTTCTGTTTTGAATTTGAATAATCTCAACATACACAAAAGAAGCAGGGAAAAACACTGTCTACAAGAAAAATTTATACTTTAGTTCACTTTTAATCCTAGGTTAGCGTTAACCGGCTTCCGAACAACCCAGCCCTCTTGACAACAAGTAAAACGAACATGAGCCCGCAGGGCAATCGAAAACCAGCACTTGATCAGTGGTAAAGATAAAAAAGCCCACGTGTTTTCGATAAGCTCTAAACTTGAGCCTGCGATATGGTCAAGTTATAACGGTCAGCGGATACTTTATTTTGACGTGTGTCAATTGACCATAACATGAATGTTCAATCAAAAATGTACACTGTAAACCAATCTGTATGTATAAATATAATTAGTCTTTGCGTTTGTGCTTTGTGTGCTATTGCGTGTCTTTTTCTGATTTTCTCTTCTTATTTGATCTAATTAAATAATTGCTTTAAATCACTAAGGGTGGCTGCCAAGTCTTATTAGTCCATTAAGGTTATTTTGGGTAGCCATGTACTCTTTTTATTTTAACTTATTTTTGTTCATTTAATCAATAGCTAGCTGAGTACAAATAAAGTTGTTGTTAGTTCCCATAGTGTCATCGTCCGGGTGAGGGTAGTTCTTAAAAGAACTGTTGTTGGTGACTGACTTTCGACAACCTGAGTGGAAGTCATCTTCAGAGTCAAGTGAATAGTGTTTGTCAGTCGATGATGTTACGAATCTGGCCCGTTGAACGTGAACGTTGAACCAGACTTCTAACTCTGACTAACTCTTCTAACTCTGTGAAGATGACACCCGCTCAGGTTGTCGAAACGTCAGTCACCAACAACAGTT